TTGTTTTTGAGATAACAGTCGGCAGCCTTCAGGTGTGCGTCCAGACACTTGTCTGCCATTTGCAGTGACTTAAAACACGTGGCTATTGGACACAAGACATATCAATAGTTGGCTATGAATGAGACAATCGTATGGATCCAATACCCGCTCGTGAGTACTCATTGGCGGCCAAATCGAAATCGGGTTTCCATTTGAGAAGACCTGTCTTAAGACTAAACCAAAGTTAGGGTATTGTATGAGATTCACGCCAATGGACGGACTGTTGGACTTACTATTTGTCGGCCTTATTGTAGCACTCATTGGCTTCAGACAACTTATCACTCATTTCTGATCACCACTTCACTCAATGACAATCTCTGCAATCAATACAAACATCCGTAAAATAATCACTTTTTTCACTCATTTATTGTCCAAAAGGTGTCTTTCTATGCATTCATAGCCTGTGTTTGGTTTTAGTCTGAAAACTGCTAAATTGAATCAATAATTGGCATCCAATACAACACTACTTCAATGCACCACAGGTTATATTGTCTTCATTTATAAGTTTTATTTAATTTCATGTAATGTTTGAAATGTTTATAAATTGTATTACATATATATATCTAATATAACTTATAGGCAAATTAGAAATCATATGACAAACAGTTATCTGAATTAAGTTTGTATGCAATATATTCTTACTTTACTTATAACTAACAATTCTTATGTACAGTAAATGACATTCAGTTTGAATATAAGAATCGTCAGAATTATTCATTTGATAGAAAGTCTCGAATAAATCGATATATAGTTAAGGAATCAATAAAATTATGAACAAAGAGTCGATTTCGTAATTGTAATGCTATTTAATGACATTATTAAAACTTATTATCAAAACTGCTGTCTCTCTCGCTATTAGAAAGTTATTGGAAACCAATGACTAATGGATTGATAAACAATTTTAATTAATCATTACTTTTGTCTATTTGTGGAGAACTAAGTCCAAAATTACGTGTTGTTCTCATATTTGAAACCATGATTAATATAATAGACATTATATAAGAGTTTCAAATATCATAAACTCTTTCAGATATTAATGGAAAGGGAGAGCAATGAGAGGATGGGGAGAGAGTAAACATTTTTTGGCTTTTATTGCCTTTCTATGTATAAATATAATGAAAATTTCCAAACAATGCAATTACAAGACATTAAATATATTAGTGAAACATTATATGTAATAAAATATCGCAAAACTATAAACAATGTTAAATACAATAATAAGTGACTTATGAACGGGAGTTGATGTTATCTGTGAACATCAGTTACTACTCTATATTATCTGTAATAAAATGCCAAATGAATACAAATTAAGCAATTATTACAAACAAATCGGACATAAATCGGATAAAATAATTTCCTAATATGTTTCCTATACTGTACTGCAAGTCAACTGCATTTACGATCAAATGACAAAAGTTATGTTAAGTACTAATAGTACGGTAGAAGTGAGAGAAGTCTAAGAATAGCACTGGTGGTAGTGTACAGTAGTGTGTAAACCGTATTCACCCGTGTGGGGACACCTGCGATATACCTGTTCCCCAATTATACTTTACGGTGGGTTTACCAGCCCTGGTACAATTGTTGGATGTGTCAGAGAGAAATGCATTAGAATTGGCTAATATTTACATAGTTTTAAATGCATTCAAATGCAATTCTATAGATATGACAAAAATAAGAATTTCTTTTTATAGCAATTGTAATTATACTGTATTTTCATTCATTTAAATGTTATTTGTTTAGCACTTGTATTGAAATTCATGTCAGTTTTCTTATAACTTAGTTATCGTTTGGCACAACATATTTGAATTATGTGTAAGACTTAATGTATTAAGAATTGAATTAAAAATACATTTGAAAAGAATTGCATTTTGCAACCATAAGTCCATAACTCACTGTAATGTTTGAGGCAATGACTCAATTATAGTGTTTTAAAGTTAGTTTGATTTTCACAAATAATCGTTTTATGAGACTTTAGCCATAATTTAATGGTATAGTTAATGGGGATGTCTTACAACAAGTCGCGACACTAATGAATACCTAAATGTGTGATTATTTTGAGAAAATAAGTTCATTGAAATGAAAGCCTTTTAGTGCTGATTCACATCTCTTTCCTAAGACTAATATTACCACTTCTTCTGATGCAACAAATATCCAATGAATAGATGAATAGTTTCTTAATTTTTTGCACAAATCATATAATTTATAGCGAATGCACTGTACGCCAGAGTACGTAAACTTAGCACTTATGAAATACTATTGAAATGATGACAAACATAAAACCTGTTGCCATAAATTATCATAACTATTAGAATATGACATTAGAATCACTTGATTACCGATTCTTACAATTATCTCTACTATTGGAACCGTTTATTTCAAGACATTCGCACAGACTATGCATTTAGATAGCGATTGCATCGATCTTTCAATCATATCTTAAACGGGAAAATAAATTATATTTGGCTTATCATTGGGAACTTGCTTCACAAATCGCATAATCATTTCATACACAGTACTGATATTATACTTATAAAACTTAGTACTAGTAAAACTTATATATTAATATTAGTATCCCAACAATAGCATCAATGTGATTTGCTATTCTATCACTATTAATATAAAAATAACAGATTGTCAAAATATTTCTTAACCTTTTAAATAAATAAATCTTTGACATAAAAATCGTGTTACATGCTTATGTTTGATAATCCTAAACACTAAGCCATTTGCAAATTGCAATCATTTCTATGTTCTTTGTGCTATCAATGGAAACACTGTTTTCAATAAACTCTATGAAGCAAAATGTTATCGTGTTTTGTAATCAACGCCAAAACTTAATGATAGCCAAAACATAGTACAGCACAGCATAAGAGTAGTCTTTTGTCACATCATGTCCATTGAATTGATGAAAGTGTCACTCAATTGAGTGTCTGTCAGACAGAGAGACAAACAGATGGCAAGTGCGAGGAGTGATGCGTTACTTCAGGTGTTATGTAATCAATGAAACATACATTGGCTTTGCATTCAATCACAGACTCCCTGTCCCCTAATCACCCCAACACACATATCATTTGCTAGGCTATGATAGGCACAATGATGTGCACTATGCACCAGGGTCACCTCATGAATCAATCAATCAATTGTTAAGCAATTTTGTGAATGAAAGTTATTTTGAAAATATTTTTAATTACAAAATGATTAGAGAAATGAGATTTGAAACAGAGTTGCGATTAATGTGTGAAACAATCGATCGTTTGATGAGAGAGTAAATGTGTGCCAAAAGTGGTATAATCTGTAAAACAAACAAATATTTGTGAATAAACTGTAATAAACTGTAATCAGACAATGACTGCAATCTTAGGCTTGTTTTGGTTGTGTTTTTACTAGGGTGGATAAAATACATGATATTTTTTCCGTCATGTATTATACAATGTATATAGTGTATTATTCATGTATTTTTCTAAATAGTCATAAATAATAGTAATATTGATTTATTTCATACTTATAAATATTTACTCTAATTTTATAACTAAATTGAATATAAAACTAATCAAGAATAAACTTCTAAAATGTTTTGCAAGTTTAATTTTCAATCCATCTCAGTTTTTTATATATTTTTGCTGTAAAGTTTGCAGGAATTCTTGTTATCCATTTTGGGAAAAGTTTCCTAAACACATGATTTTGATTTACTTTTACTCAAATTTAATCAAATAAAATCAATTAAAATAATAATTTTGATTTTCAAACAATATTTACTAGATTTACGTTTGTATATTATTGAAAATAATCAGAAATTTAACAGTTTTTTCAATAGGGGCGGGATTTCATGTATGTATGGTAAATGTGCTCATGTATAATATCTAGAATAATACAGATGTATTATACGTCAATGTATGTGAATCGACCCTAGTTTTTACGCGAATAGCAATACAAACAGTGCTATAGTATTAGTATTATTAGTA